TTTCATTTTCGCAGTTTCCATACTAATATGTTAGGTCTGGCTAGCTAAGTTAATGGGTGGTAGCATGCATGCTTGTTCCTAGCGGTTCCTACAAGTACTGCTCGTTGGAATCCAAATGGCTACTTACCTGGCTGACGCGTGCCTTCCCAAGCTCGAATTATTTGCCAGAAAAGGTTCAAAAAATTATAGAATTTCCTTGATAGGTCCTAATTCACATAAAAAACTAGGATCAGAGTTGAAATCTGGGAGAAAAATAAGCAAACGGAGGGAAAAAATTCACTCGCGCGCCTACACGAGTGTTGACGCGCTCTGGAGGACATACTACACGCGGCTTCCTACGCGCGACTTCCCGCACAGTCGCGGGCTAGTGGCCGTTTTGGGTGGTTCGGACTCAGACCGACTCGGTTGCGCGCCTGATGCGTTTCTCGAGCTCGCGGTCACTACGTGTCGCTCGTTGGTCATGCTGTGCTCCTCCATACGTCGGTCGACACATAGCGGCGATGTCTCCTCTCTCCTGTGTTTCTCCAGATTTTCAAAAATGTGACTTTTGGCGTTTTCAATCTATTTTCTTCCGATTTTTATATCTTCCAATCCGTAATCCGAATCAACAAGTTCTCTTCATGAATATTGTAGATCTCATATTCTATTTCTACAATAAATTTTTCTTGTATTTTTTGGTAATCATAGGTCGTATTATTTGTGTTTAAATTTGGAGAAAAACATGAGTTCTTACCGAAAATCGCGTTTTCTTGGAACTCAGATTTTTGTCCAGAAACTTCAAGAAACCTGTGTGAATCTTATTTTGGTTACATATCTCAAAACATTCAGATCTAACGCTCAAGAAACTCCTCAGATCTAGATAAAATCAAAACAAGAAGTTCGAAATCTTAGTTTGTCCGTTCTCGGATTTTCTTGTCGGAATGAGTGGGTCCACCACCCAAACTCCTTTTCCAGCACTGAGAGAAGTATTGCTTTGAAGTTTCTTGCCTTGGATTCGATCTCGAATGGCGATTTGTCATTCTGCTCTTCCTCTCTCCCAAATCCTAACTTCTTCTCTTTTCTCCCTTCTCCTCTCTCCTATCTCCTTTCTCCTTTCTCCTTTCTCTCTCTCTCTCTTTTTCTTTTCTCTTTCTTCTTACAACCCAAACAACTAGACCCCTTGGGTAAGAGCAGGGGAAAAATGACCCTTTTGTCCCCATGTTATTTTTATTTTTTTTATTTATTTATCTAAAAATTCGGGTATTACAATTCTCTCCAGCTTAGGAACTTTCCTCCTCAAAAGTTTATCCTCCCCGGAAGAGTTCGGGATAAGACCTCCTCGTGTCATCCTCACAATCCTAGGTGGCTTCGTTGTCCTGATGGTTTTCCCATAAGATCTTGGCTAATGGGATTCCCCATTTCGTGGTTTCCTTACATCACGTGTCATTATCCCTATGGATTTTTCTTCATACGTTAGATTCTCCCGAAGGGGAAGTGTCTCGTGATCGATGATGTGAGTGGGATCCGGAGTGTACTTTCTCACATTGATACATGGAGTACGTTATGCACTGCGACGAGTGTGGGTGGTAATGCTAGTTTGTATGTCGCGGGCCCTACACTTTCTAGGATTTCAATTAACTAATTCCAACAACCTCCGCTGTCTCTTTTTGTGTGAACAGATACTTGAGTCTCTTGTGGTCAGTATACACTTGAACTCTCTTCCCATACAAGTAGTGACGTTAGGTTTTTAATGCATACACCACGACTGCTAGCTCCAGATCGTGTGGGGTAGTTGCGCTCATACTCTTTCAACTGTTTAGCGGCACAAGCTATCACCTTGCCCTTTTTCATGAGTACGCAATCGAGCCCCTTTTCCTAAGGAGTCGTTGTAAACATAAATCCACCTGATCCATCAGGCGCTGTAAGTATAGGCATAGTGACCAACCTCCTCCTCAGTTCCAGAAAACTTTGTTCACACTCTAGTGTCCACATAAAAGATTTCCCCTTCTTGATTAACTATGTCAAAGCTGATGAGATCTTAGGAAATCTTGTACAAAACCTTCTATAATAGCCTTCTAGGCCAAGAAAACTTCTTACTTCAGTGGCCATAGTTGGTCTAGGTCATTTCAAAATGATGGTGTTAATATAACACATGTGGAAGCAATTTGGATCTTAGGCACTCTAAGTATATCAATTAGTAAATAAGCTAGCATGTTCAAAAGCATTAAAACTCAATGAGTGGCCCCACCCTCTCATTGGCCTGAAGTTACTTCTTGTTCCTTATGTCTCACTGATCCTCTAATGAACAATTGGTTTGTGGTCCAACCAGTAAACCGAATCCCTCTTAGGTCAATGAGAGGGTGGGGCCACTTGTTCAAGATCTGGAGCCAGTGCTTAAGGGAACTACCTCTCTTCTATCCCTAAAAGTAGGTAGGAGCGAATTCCATCTTGCACCCCACATCCCCAGCCATTCACCCAATTTTACCCCTAAAATGGGAGGCCTATTGAGTCGGCGAACTCG